AGTCCATTTGATACCCCCTCTTCGAAATTTCATTTACGGTTTTATAAAGGCTGCAGACAGTATTGTGGCAGGCAGCCTGTTTTCCTTTAACATAGAAAATGTTTTGCACTGTACCTGTATAGGGCTTGTTGTCCTCCATATCATAGTTCCTTGGTCTGTTAGTTGCTGCTGTCATCACTAAATGTTAATTTGGGGCCTCTGTTTTATGCGTAAGCATCATCAGAGGCCGATTGGTGTCTGTTTTATCGGTGGCACATGTGCTGCTGTTATCAGAAAGCAGAAGGGGAGGAGGGGGGCCAGGGTGGCGCGGCGGCATGCTGCCAGCACCTTCACCACCCAGTAGGCACTCACCCGTCTGTTGTACGACCCACTCAGAACAGGATACAGCCAGAGTGATAGTGCTGCTGTCACTGCAGGCCCTCCAACACCATAGAGGTCAGTAGGGCTTCCTCTGCACGGAATCACAGATGAAACACATCCACAGACAGCCACACTTAGACAGTTACACGCACACACACGCTTGTGCAGACAGTCACCCACGCATGGTATTCATTCAGCTAAATTCATTCAGCTCTCAGCTGCATACAAAGGATTTTGGCCCATAGTGCTCACTCACAGTGAAGTGTCAGAATGGTGGTTTGGTAGCACTCACCTGGTTACTCTTGACTCATTGGCTGGCAGGACTGAGGTGACTGGATCTGTGTGGTGGGGATATAAATGAGTGACAGGGTTGAGGTATAAAACCTTCTGATGTCATGCTGTCTTTAGCTCCCATTGTTATCACCAGCCCAACAACCCAATGGGACTGGCCCAGCCAGTACAGTACGTTGGTTAGATTTGAGCAGGTGCCCAGAGACCATCTGAAATAGGCTCATCTCTCTCTCTGTTTGACATTTTTGACTGTTCAAGACTCACAGGATTTTTTTTCTAGTACTCAAATGAAAACAATTGATTTTTAGAACACAGGCCCGTACTGGAGAAACCGTAATATCAACTGGTTATATTATATCGTGGAACACAATCTTCAAAAGCCAGTAACCTTAGCAGTGGCGCATGCTTGTAGAAGCCTTATGTTAGAAATCAAAATTACTATGTAAAGGTAGGTTAAGTAATTAAATATGATCTGAAATAAAATTGCCCCATACATATTCATTCAATAAAAAACAAGTGCCATTTTAGAATTATTCATTGAAGCCATAATGACCTGTTAGTTCTCTAGTGTGGTCACAGCGGCGCTTTGCAGTGACAAAAGATGTGATGCGAGATTGCTGCTGCTTGTCCCCCTCCGAGAACGTTTCTTTGTGCTTGATAACCATATGATTTGTCATGGAGCTAATTGTGCTGTGATAGGAGAGCTTAATAGTGATAGGGAACTTAAATAGCATAAGCCTATCCTGGCACGCAGGCCAGGTACATCTGTGCGCGCGCACGTGTTCACACGACAGTGGCAAGATGGAGAAACCAGACATGTGCTCCAAACGAAATACAATGAAGAAATTGACATAAAACTGGTAAATATAATTAAATAAACCACAACTTTAATATCACAAGTGTTGGGCAGTTTGTGAGCTCTCCAAACAACGTGTCCACTACGAGAAGGAGAACGGTATGCAGTATTAATACATTGAATGAACAGAAATGACCCGTAACCTAACATTTTAGATTAATGAGGAAATGGCAATGATTAACGGTAGCCTACATTAACTACTGGTTATACTTTTGATATATAGTAATTCATAAACATTGACAAACATTTCACACCATGAAAACAATGAATGTGCACAAATTGGCGGGAGTCAGTGTGTGTTAGTGGAGAAAGACATGGCCTAGTGCGTCTTTGACACAGTATTTGAAAAAAGATAAATTTCTGATGTCCGTTCGAGTACTCGATTACTCATGCTCATCACTGTGAATGACTTGACTCCTAGAGATATAATATTAATCTTGCATAATGTCAGTCTAGGTGTCTGACCTCTCTATGACCCTTTCAGAGAGGTCACAACACAGCGGGACACTGTGCCACCCGGGTGATAATAATAATATGCCATTTAGCAGACGCTTTTATCCAAAGCAACTTACAGTCATGCGTGCATACATTTTTGTGTATGGGTGGTCCCGGGGATTGAACCCACTACCTTGGCGTTGCAAGCGCCGTGCTCTACCAGCTGAGCTACAGAGGACCACGGGGGGTGAATGTTTTAGTCGGCACAACAAACACACACAGACTGGGGATCAGGCTCGTCAACACTGTAGTAACAGGCACACAGAGACCTCTAAAGCACATTCATTTCTCTTATGCAACTATATGATGAATACACATGAACTATTCAATCAATATGGACTTTTCTTTTCACGCAGGTGTGTAGGATGGAAACAAAGGTAAACTTTGCAATATTTACCTGGAGCTAACCTTGCAGATAGCATTACTGGGTGATCTGAAAAGTCATAGTCAATCGATCAATAATATAATAATACTTTTAGCAAAAATGTTTATTTTTAATTCACAATCTGTAGAAGCAATGAGAATAGAAAGGTTCAGAACTTTTGTAAAACATCACAGTACGGTTGAAATATATATGGCAAATAGAAATCCTATATGGATGGTGTTAAGAGATAGATGTGAGGTATTGAATAGAGTTGAAGGATGGGACTAATAACAAATAATAACAAATAATAACAAGATAACTAATAATGTAAGCATACTGTGTCCATAATAAGTATATAGGTTGTATGTTGGGAGCTTTTGGGAAAGAGCACAGTTAGAAAGATATGGCATATAGAAGCAAACCGGATGGACATCATGAAAATGATCAGAGAGGTTGAGAGTAGAAGAAGTTCAGGAGCAAAAAAATTAATAAATATATATATATATATAATATAATTATTGTAAAATTAACTGTGTCCATAAGGTGTAGATAGTAAGTATAGACCGGAAGTAGAGGCCTGGGCATTGTTGTTCACTAATTAACTCCAAGTAGGGAAAGGATGGCGGGGTTGAAAAGTAATAAAGGGGAGTATGTATATAAAATACATGGGGGATTGGAAGTGATGCAGACAATTACATTGATAGAAGATACAATCTATCTGCAATATTAAGCTGATCCATCCCCCAAGAAAAAAATAATTAAAATAAAATAAAAAAAACAAAGGTAAACTTGATGAGAGTGAACTGAGTGGAGGGTTGATTGACTGCTGTACAGTGGACACTGGTAAGCCAATGAGTGTCACTGACCATTAAAGGGGTCTTTGGGTAACCGGGACCCACTCTTTTCACGCCACTTGGATACAAAGTGATTTTCGTAGCAGGTTAGGAGAGCATTTTCGCTAACCCTAACCCTTTTCCTAACCTTAACCTCAGACTCCTAACCTGCTGCATAAGTTATCCTAACCTGCTATGAAAAAGTCACTTTGGTTATCGAAGTGGTGTGAAAAGAGTGTTTCCCTTGGGTAACCAGATTGTCCAGTGGATTATCGATTAGCTTTCACAGGCAGGGGGGATAGTGTCCTTTTAGAGGAGTATGAAAAACCTGAGCCTATGGATGGTTTGTGTTGAAACACAGCGGTAGAGAGAGTTCTGTTTGACTTAGACCCAGAGGGATTACAGGTTCCACCGGTTGGAGGAACTGCTGGCTGCAGCACTATTTGAAACCTCACAAAGCTTCTGCCGGTGCTGGCTCTGAATAATAACACATCCCCCAGTCTGTCTGCTGACTGGAAGTTTACATGACACTGAGAATCAACTGTACAGACTTATAAAGAACATAGAAAGCACTTGATAACGTCATATTCATCCCTATGCACATCCAAATGAAAGTTATTTGTGTTGAGTCTGTTTACTGTTCTGGCACTGTGGAGTTAACAGTTGAGCTCAAAGCTGTGGGGAGCATAATATAAAACCCAGGGAGGGGGCATGAGAACTGGAGCCCCTCCCCTCCTGCAGAGATCAGCAGAACCCATAACCCCTCCTCTCCTTTATACAGCAGCACTGGGCCAATTAGAACAACACACTCGTGTTAGATAGGGCTCCTCTCCCACTTCACACACAGAGAGAGAGAGAGAGAGAGAGGAGAGAGGAGAGAGAGGAGAGGAGACGCAGAGCGAGAGAGAGAGAAGAGAGAGAGAGAGAGAGACGGGATAGAGAGAAGTTGTTTTTGTGATGCTATGCCATAATGTGATGTGCATTGGCTGCCCAGGCTGTCTGCATTGACTACTTGACAAGCTGAGGGAGAAGGATACTACTGTATGTCCCTCCAGGTTGCCACCCAATAGTTTTTAGTCATTAGAGTCTCTAAGACACATCTGCTGCCTGCCTGGACAAACAGAGCTCTAATCTTTCAGAGTGTCGCATCCACAGCCGTTTCCGTCTCCACCTTCCTCCTGGTTTCTTGTTACTGGACGTGTTCTGAGACGGGGTTTTCCTTCTTTACGCATTGAGGGGCTAATGAAGCAAACTTCTAGTGGGAACAGCGCCGGGTCAAACCAGGACCAGGGAACACTACTGTAACGCTGTACTGTGCCTCTGCAGCAAGGAACAGGTGGGGAGGAACGCAGAAGAACGCGCCCATCGCTGTGGATGGTTCCAGAACTTCAGTAAAACCCAGAGAGGGATGTGACTTCCCACTAGCGACACACTGGTTGAATTAGCGTTGTTTCCATGTCATTTCAATGAAAATAAGTTGAACCAACGTGGAATAGACGTTGAATTGACATCTGTGCCCAGTGGGTTGGCAGCCTGTCAGAGGGAGTTGTTCTCATCGAAAGGTTTACTTTTGGACTCTCTGTGTGTGTGAGTTTGTGTGTACCACAGAGAGTCTCCTGCTGTACATGTCTATATGCAGGCTGAGCTACCCCAGCTGTGGAGCTTCTGTGTGAGCGTACGCCTGCGTTTTGGCCAACCTTCTTAGAAAGCAGCAGAGAGAGAGGGGGAGAGTCGGAGTGCTTGTATGTGTGTGAGTGTGTGGAGAGGTTTCTGAGACGTGCTCTGAAAGCAAGAGCGGAAGATGCCGGCCATTCTGGCCGCCTCTAAGATGAAGTCGGGACTACCCAAACCGGTGCACAACGCCCTGCCCATTCCTCAGATACAGAATCCTGCCAGGTCCAGGACCTCCAGCCCTCACAGGGCCAGCCACCTCAGACACAGCCCCCTGAAAGCCCTTCACCGGCAGGGAGAGGACCAGGGAAAGGGAGAGGGGACCCCCACTCCCACCAAAACCCTCTCAACCAGAGAGAGTGAAGACCGAGAGGACCCTCAGGTCAGAGCACTGTTCTTTTCAATCTCATCTTTGTTACGTACTAAGACTAAAGGATGAAACCTGGAGTAAACTGGGATAAAATATGGGATCTCTGCACCTGTTCAGCATGCGTAGTTGGATAGTGAACACTATCGGCATTTGCAGCTGCTGTGTATATAGGAGAGATGCAGGCTAATGTGTCTAAGGCACATAATGATGAATGGCATGTGTGTGTGGTCAGTAGTGTAAACATATGTCACAGGTTAAAGCATTAGTCAAATGTTGTTTGAGGCTACGGTAGTGAAGGGGAGGAGTTAATACTCTAATCAGATGGTCATTCAGCGATGCAGATAGGGAATGACAACCCTTCCCTTATCAGCCATCTTCACTGTCACTACAATGCAAGGAAGTGTTTGAAATCTGCTGTAAGGCATTCACTTCAATGGATATCTAATTCTCTTCGACATACCTTAGTTACTTTCTCACAGGGAAATTTGAAAGACTAAGGTATTTCAGAATACAACAGCAGGCTTTGGCCTCATGGCAGTTGCGGGTATTTATATATAAATATATATATATATATATATATACATATATATACACACTACTGTTCAAAAGTTTGGGGTCACTTAGAAATGTCATTAAAAAAAATAATAAAAAAAAGTCCATTAAAATAACATCAAATTCATCAGAAATACAGTGTAGAAATTGTTGATGTTGTAAATGGCTATTGTAGCTGGAAACGGCTGATTTTTAATGGAATATCTACAAAGGCGTACAGAGGCCCATTATCAGCAACCATCAGTCCTGTGTTCCAATGGCACGTTGTGTTTGCTAATCCAAGTTTATCATTTTAAAAGGCTAATTGATCATTAGAAAACCCTTTTGCAATTATGTTAGCACAGCTGAAAACTGTTGTGCTGATTAAAGAAGCAATACAATTGGCCTTCTTGAGACTAGTTGAGTATCTGGAGCATCAGCAATTGTGGGTTCGATTACAGGCTAAAAATGGCCAGAAACAAATAACTTTCTTCTGAAACTCGTCAGTCTATTCTTGTTCTGAGAAATGAAGGCTATTCCATGCGAGGAATTGCCGAGAAACTGAAGATCTCATACAACGCTGTGTACTACTCCCTTCACAGAACAGCGCAAAGTGGCTCTAACCAGAATAGAAAGAGGAGTGGGAGGCCCTGGTGCACAACTGAGCAAGAGGACAAATACATTAGAGTGTCTAGTTTGAGAAACAGATGCCTCACAGGTCCTCAACTGGCAGCTTCATTAAATAGTACCCGCAAAACACCAGTCTCAACATCAACAGTGAAGAGGCGACTCCGGGATGCTGACCTTCTAGGCAGAGTTGCAAAGAAAAAGCCATATCTCAGATTGGCCCATAAAAAGAAAAGGTTAAGATGGGCAGTCTGAGATATGGCTTTTTCTTTGCAACTCTGCCTAGAAGGTCAGCGTCCCGGAGTCGCCTCTTCACTGTTGACGTTGAGACTGATGTTTTGCGGGTACTATTTAATGAAGCTGCCAGTTGAGGACATGGTTAGAGCCAGTTTGCGCTGTTCTGTGAAGGGAGTAGTACACAGCGTTGTATGAGATCTTCAGTTTCTCAGCAATTTCTCGCATGGAATAGCCTTCATTTCTCAGAACAAGAATAGACTGACGAGTTTCAGAAGAAAGCTCTTTGTTTCTAGCCATTTTGAGCCTGTAATCGAACCCACAATTGCTGATACTCCAGATACTCAACTAGTCTCAGGAAGGCCAGTTTTATTGCTTCTTTAATCAGCACAACAGTTTTCAGCTGTGCTAACATAATTGCAAAAGGGTTTTCTAATGATCAATTAGCCTTTTAAAATGATGAACTTGATTAGCAAACACAACGTGCCATTGGAACACAGGACTGATGGTTGCTGATAATGGGCCTCTGTACGCGTATGTAGATATTCCATTAAAAATCAGCAGTTTCCAGCTACAATAGCCATTTACAACATTAACAATGTCTGCACTGTATTTCTGATCAATTGTATTTTATTTTAATGGGAAAAAAATTGCTTTTCTTTCGAAAACAAGGACATTTCTAAGTGACCCCAAACTTTTGAACGGTAGTGTATATACAGGAGGAGAGTAGAGAGAGAGAAGAGAAGAGAGCGAGAGATAGAGAGAGAGAGAGAGAGAGAGGAAGAGATAGAGAGAGATAGATAGAGAGGAGAGAAGAGAGATAGCGGAGAGAGAGCGAGAGATAGAGATCTCGAGATCTATAGAGCGATCCAGCTCTTCGTCTCAGATAGATATATATCTGCTCGATATTCGCTAGCGCTAGATAGAGAGACGCGAAGAGAGCGAGACCCCTGTTTTATTTTTTATGTTGGCCAGTGTGAATGGCAGACAGATGGGTTTTAAGAGCTCTACACACCTGGTCTGGCTGATGTCTGCAACGTGCAGTGTGTATGCCTTTATATTCATACATTTGTACAACTGTACAAAGATTATAGTTAAACTGAAAGCGACTATAGATTATAGTCCAGGAGTGCCGGTCTTGTGTCTATATTGCTGGCCTGGCCATGTATAGCCTATGTGTAGTTGGCCGATCCCGTAGCCCGCTGTCCCAGGCAGGCAGGGAGCAGTAGCTGATGTTTTGCTTCATGTGGTGGGGAGGATGAAAGATTACTGTGTAGCCTATCATTACACAGTGAGAGTGAACAGCGGTCAGGGGGTTTCCTGCAGCGCTCTATTTGGAGTGGCAGTACTGTGCTGTGCTGTGGCTCAGTGTGCTCCACACTGCAGCCCAGCCCAACTGCAGAGTTCATGGAGCTGGGGGCCAGGGGGCCCACTGGAGAGGAAACGGGAACACACAAGCATAGAATCATATTGTATTATTTCATATTTCCTTTTTATTTTGTTGGCGTACCCTAATGGGGGACATATGGTGAAAGAATAGAAAGGGTTGGTAAATTATGAAGAGTTAGCCAGTGTGGTATTTTGTGGCGTAGAACTATCCCACTGGGCACAGACGTCAATTCAACATCTGTTCCACGTTGGTTCCACGTCATTTCATTGAAAATAACTTATTTTGAAATGAAATGACGTGGAAACAACGTTGATTCAACCAGTGTGTGCCCAGTGGGATGGCTTTTGCAATGAAGTTAATGATATTGGACATTTTCTATTGGGATGTGTTTGTGAAACTTTGGACAAGCAACTACCAGACCTCAGTCTTAAGGTCACAGATATTTTCTGACTGGAAGCACAAAATGTTCATAATGAATTCTGTATGCACAGTGAACTAGACAAGATGGGTGATTCCTTGAGTCTCAGCATATCAGTGAAGAAGATCACAGTGATTCTTGCTGCTGATTACCTGCACTCTCTACACCAATGAGAATACACACAGCTTCACTTCCATCGAAAAAGTGATTTATCAGCTAAATTGATACAGTACATGACATTGAGTATAGTGAAGATATCTGGTAGTTATATGCCACTCCACCACACCTGCTGCTGATGGCATGAGTAGTGAGATTAGCAGGCCTACTGTGCGTGGGGTGGGTGTCTGCTACATCTGGTTTGGTCCTACCAGGAAGAGAGAATCCCTTTAAGGCACCACCACAGCCTTCTTCTGCAGTAAACACACATCCAGCTGGCCTGCACGGACTTCCAGACAAACATCACCACATACAGTGTTCCATACCACCAGGCTGGTTACGTGTTTTTTTATGTGAGAATTACATCCACACCACCAAAGGTCTGAAGTGGTGCGTAATGTGTAAGGCTTGGTTGGGTGGAGTAGTGCTCGATTGCTCTCTGCAATACTACAAAAAAAGCAGGATCAAATGCAGCCGAATTCTGAAAGAGGTTTTTGTGTGTGTGTGTATTTATGTGTGTGCATGCATTTGTGTGTGTGTGTGTGTGTGTGTGTGTGTGTGTGTGTGTGTGTGTGTGTGTGTGTGTGTGTAGGACATGAATAATGTAATACAGTGGCCTTGAGGAAGGAAGAGGAGGAGGGGGAAACAGTAACATGATGTGTTAGAATAGATTACCTCTGGTCCACTGACACACATGGGATGCACTGGCTACACACACACACACACACACACACACACACACACACACACACACACCAACACTGCCCCCAAGTGTTGGCTTTTCCCACCTGGACAGGACAGGACATAGATGAGGGAGCTGGAGGACCATAGTGTTTAGTCTAATTTAGTTTCGTTTATTTTGCACAAATAGAGAGACAGTTTGTAACAGTTAAGAAAACAAAAATGGTACATGCAGGAGGGAAAAAAAACACAAAAGTGCTTGTCGAGTAGCCTCCCCCCTAATGGTCATAAATCACACAGATTCAGTAGTGTGGACAAACAAACTAATTATAAAATAAAAACTAGATGCGAAAGAGGTAATTTAAATGAAATCTAAGCAGAAAGTCAAGCTACTGGGGATGTAGATCTGTGATGGACAATGACGGTGTTAAACATGACTAATGCTTACTAATGGACACCCCAGCTGGATAGTGGAAAAACATTGATATATGACTGAAGTTAACTGGCTTGCTGTTAGACATGCCAGCTTTACTATATGTCCAGGTATGACTTCAAACAGTGTCCAGTTATGGGCTATGTCCACTCTGTCTTTAGCCCAGCAACCATCATTTTGAAAAGCAAGTGAAAGTGTATATAATTCGATGTTATATCAAGAATATTCCATGTGATTACGTTCACACCGTCTGCCGCACTTTGTGGTAGGTGTTTCTTGGCTCACACAGCGTCCGTATGCTGTGAGATATGAGAAAGAGGATCTACACCATAGAGATAGATAGAGGAACTCTAGTGCCCAAAAGCCAGTTTTAGCATGGGCAGCACCATTGAGGACTTTTGAAGTAGTCGACTGGGTGGGACTTCCTATGGGTTAAGGAAGGATCATATAATTCCATCCAGGTCATCAGGAGGGATCAGCCAATTAATTATACTCGTGAGCAAACATTTCTTAACTGCAGGTGGCAGTAAATTGCCCACCTTGGCTTTATACCTGTTCAAACAACACACTCCAGGTGGCAGTATGCGCCCTTTCAGTATGTTTGCCAACTCATAGAAGTAGTAGATGAAGAGAATGTACTACTCACAGACACCATAATGGGACAGATACAATGATGCAATGTCTAAGTCTATGATCTACACACACCTTCTCTGTCTGGTTGGATAGGTAACTTAAGCCCTGAGTTTTTTGTTTTCAGTGGTAGCTAGCTATAGGAATGCTATTTTGCTATTTTGGGGGGGGCAGGTAGCTTAGTGGTTAAGAGCGTTGTGCCAGTAACCGAAAGGTCGCTGGTTCTAATCCCTGAGCCGACTAGGTGAAAAATCTGTCGATGTGCCCTTGAGCAAGGCACTTAACCCTAATTGCTCCTGTAAGTCGCTCTGGATAGGAGCGTCTGCTAAATAAATATAAATTTTTAAAATACATTCTAGGATGATATAAATGGAGTTCAAATGGCTGTTCAAGTTCTTCACATTAAATTTCACAGTTTCTGAAAGCAAAGTGCAAATTTGTAACTATTTATCTATATTGAGCTTCATGAGCTACTTGCTTGGTTTGTGACTTTTCATTGACCCCATTGTGTTGTGTTTTGTTCCATAGTGAAAGTCATAGCTTTATCTAGAGGTTTTTTAATGCAAATCCCCCAGAAACAGATCAGCAAAACACCATGCAGGAAAACAGAATAGCAACCTGTGTTGTGCTCTCAGCTGTTTTGTAATCTCTTTATAGTACCTTGAAAGGTGTACATTTCTTAAAACCATCTTTCTCTGCCAGTTTACTTTCTGTGGTCCACATTAAGCACTCTACCTACCCTAGGTCACCTGTTCAGATTTTCTGCCCGATTTGTGCTCTTTCTTCATCTGTTTCACTTTAATGTCAGATTACCCGTCTGGTGCCTCCCCCTTAACCCCCTGATAACTCCCCTTAACCCCATTGTGATGTACTTAACACCCTGATTCTCATAGAGTGAAGACTCTCTGTGGATCTGTATTGTCTAGCTACAGTATAAGCATAATAATCTCATAAACAGTTTGGGGCAAACAGTGTAGACTATTTTCCGTCAGATCAGACAGATTAAAAAAATTACTGAGATGTTAAAATGCAGCAGCAGTAAACTTCAAATTAGGAGCAAAGCTCCTCAGATTACAGACACCACACTCCGGTGCTCTCAGCCAGTGAGTTTCTGTCTTAATAAGTGATGTCATGTTTCCTACTCTTTGAAAGACATGATTTCTCACTCCCAGAGCAAAACTTACATTGTGCTCAGTGGCCTGATTTCTGGAGGAATGTGAGTATCACGCCTTGGAAAGCGAGTGTGTTCTGAAAGGTATTTGAAAGGTGTTATCTACAGGCTATTGCGTTGCCTATATTAACTAGTAATGGTCTGTGATTATGTGAATTGATTGTGTTTCTAATATGTCAATTGTATTTCTATGTGTTTTGTTGTTGGGCAGATTTACACCGACTGGGCCAACCATTACCTGGTGAAGTCGGGCCGTAAGCGACTGATAAAGGACTTGCAGCAGGATGTTACAGACGGAGTGCTACTGGCTGAGATCATACAGGTTGTCGGTAAGGACTTCCCTGGCATTTTATACTCTATTGGTAACTTTTTTTAAATCAGCAGATCAATTGGAATTATCTCTATTTTCTGCTTCCATGTAATCATTATGCGTTTTGTATTGGCTTTCCATTGCAATGCAATGACAAGAACAAACTTGTGTTTTTTACATGGTTATCATATTATATAGCCTAATATCAGTATGATATGATTAGTATGATATGTCACAGTGCCTCTCTCTTCTCTGGCCTCCAACTCAGTGGCCTCTATGGTCTTTATTGTGGAGAGGTTAGGCGGGATCTTTAGGTTAGGAGGGTCTTTAAAATCAGCAACTTGAGATTCCAGCTCTGCTTTTAGCCTCCCATAGTGGATGAGAGGTTGAGCAGTGAAACCTGTCATTATTTCCTGTGTGTCTACACTGTACATTATATTTAAGTGGGGTGAATAGAGGGAATGGGGTTAGTGAAAGCTAAATGAGGATCGTAGTGGTGGTATTTGACTGAGACGGCATCAGGTGCAAAACCCGGCTGCTTCCCATGGTTAGGGTAAATTATTACTGCTTTTGGATAGATACTGTATGAGCGTCTTCAATGTGACTTGTCATTGTGCAGGGAAAGTCCCTAGAAGGATGAGTTACTTTCATCATTAAACAACCTCTTTCCTTTCTCTCTCTCTTTTCATCTTTCATTTCTAGCGAATGAGAAGATAGAAGACATAAATGGCTACCCAAAGAGCCAGACTCAGATGGTGAGTGTTGTGTTTATTCTATAACATAAGGGAACCAATCCTCCAGCCCCTAAAACAGGGATACCAGGGAGGCTTAAGCCTTACAATACTTCATAGTATGGATAATGAGTTATCGCATGTGTGATTATTGTGCAAACACAACCGGATGATCCTTCCCAAATCTGAAATCCTGACGCTGAGTGAAAACCCTTGGTAGCATCTGCTTCTTTCCTCACTGTTTCCTGTAAGAGAATGGTCAGGCATTTCTAGTGATGCCCTACTGACACAGTAGGGAGGCTGTGGGGAGGCATTAAATAGACTGGTGTCCCACTGACACCCAAACAACCTCCCTTGCCTATTTGGGATTGAACCAGTCTTGTCTGTGCCCACATACCTATCCATGGATCCATGGGTTAAACATCCGTTCACCTCATTATTGTTGTTATCACGCTCGACACAGTAGCCTCTATTTTGTTTGTATGATAATCCAAGATAGTTAGTTTAAAGGCCCAGTGTAGTCAAAAACGTGATTTTCTTGTGTTTTATATATATTTCCACACTTTGAGGTTGGAATAATACTGTGAAATTGTGAACATTTTAATAATGCCCTTTTAGTGTAAGAGTTTTGGTGGGATGGAGTTTTAGCCTGCCGGGAGACATCACAAGGCGGTAAATTAGTTAATAGACCAATAAGAAAGAGAGTTCCAAACGTCTCTTCCAATAACAGCTAGTTTTCAGTTTTCCCGCCCATACTCAGACCACTCCAGGCAGTCCTAGCAAAATTCTTGCTTGAGAAATTGCTCTTTGCTAAAAAGCTACTTTTGTTTATTTTTTGACTATTTTCATTGAAAACTATCATAGTAAGGTACTCAATTGTTACCCAGAAATGACTTGATGTTAAGATAAAAACGGCTGTATTGGACCTTTAATATTATTAGATATATCTCCCTTGCTTACAATTTTGCAGCTTATTCTTTTTCTCTGACCTTATTTCACTCCTACAAGCTGTCTGTCACTTGGACCACCTCCCTCAGTCTAATATATCTAGTTCTCCTCTCCTCTCACTCTAGCTGACTCACCCTGGCTCACCCACCATCACCACCTCCCTCAGTCTAATATATCTAGTTCTCCTCTCCTCTCACTCTAGCTGACTCACCCTGGCTCACCCACCATCACCACCTCCCTCAGTCTAATATATCTAGTTCTCCTCTCCTCTCACTCTAGCTGACTCACCCTGGCTCACCCACCATCACCACCTCCCTCAGTCTAATATATCTAGCTCTCCTCTCCTCTCCTCTCACTCTAGCTGACTCACCCTGGCTCACCCACCATCACCACCTCCCTCAGTCTAATATATCTAGCTCTCCTCTCCTCTCCTCTCCTCTCCTCTCACTCTAGCTGACTCACCCTGGCTCACCCACCATCACCACCTCCCTAACACATTGAATGACAGACCCCATTTTTATACAATCGTTTTTCTCTTGCGGGCCAGAAATTGGGAAAATATTATTGAAATAATGAGTAGCTCTATGAATGGAAGTCTTTCAGTAAGCCATGCTCCCTCAAAATGAACTTCCTGGAGTTTAGCGTAATGGGTGGGAAACAGTTTAGATTTTATCAGAAACACATTGCTTTAGTTGTTGGGAAACTTCCCTGCTGTTACTAATGGGTGATTGTGAATTGCATGAAAAGATCTGTGGTAAGGTCTGAATTAAGAGAGGTTAATGATTTAATTGCATCCTGTATGCTAGTCTAGTTCTACTTCTGTACTACTATGTTTGAACTATTTGAAGGATGGTTTCTGCTTGTGGATTATACAGTATTATTTCAGCTTCCATCATTAGTGGTTGGTTATAATCCATGGAGGACCATATGGTTCTAAATTTGACTGAGATTTTCCTACATCTCAGACAAACATTAAACCTAATGTTACATTATCATTGTATGGGGAATTTTTGCTAATGTATTACTCTGCTCTATCTGTACTGACAAAGTACCATGCCCTGACTCCTCTCTCCTCTCCCCCAGATTGAGAACATCGATACCTGCCTAGGATTCCTGGCAGCTAAAGGGGTGAACATCCAGGGACTCTGTGCAGAAGGTACGTCAAACTGCCACTATCTACCAGACACTCTCCCTCATATCGACTTTTCATCTAGAGCATCTAATGAATAACTCCATGTTAGATCCGACTGTGAAGAGGAAACGATACCAAAGATGCCAACCTCTCTGTCTCTCCACCTATTGCAGAGATCCGTAATGGGAACCTGAAGACCATCCTGGGCCTGTTCTTCAGCTTGTCCCGCTACAAGCAGCAGCAGCAGAAGGTGTTGAAGCAGCAGGCCTCTCATCACCCAGAGCACAGCACCCAGCCTGGACATACTTCCCATGGGTCACCAACCCCCGCTCACACCCACACCCATCATACCCACAGCTCCACTGCACCAGCACACAAAGCAGCATCAGATATGCTGTCCAGGTACAGTACCTTGTAACAACCCAACCTCCAGTTTCAACCCATGGCAAGGTTGTTTACATCATCCATTCGAATTGTGTGTAGTCTCATCTTCTGCGGTTTCCATGCCATTGGGTAGCAGGCCATCTTCATTCCACGTCTATGAATCTCTTTGCTTTCCATTACTTAGTATCTATGATCCTCTTGATCTCATTCAGTCTGTTTTCAGATCTCTGTCTACTCTAATATTCTTTCTACCCATCTTTTTCTCCTCCTTGCAGTCTATCATCCAAGGCTTCTTCCACTCAGAGTAAAGGGCTAAAGCTCTCTGTGGCTCAGAGAAAGTCTTCTAGGTCAGCTGTCATCTATCTCACTCTCCCCCCCCACACTCTCTCTCTCTCTCTCTCCCCCAAAGACACTGCATGCTGCAATCCACTCACACTGTAGATACACCGTGTATTGTGTTTGAAAAGCTGTTCCCTCCCAATTCTCCCAACTCATTTCAGGTTGTCTTGTAGTACGTTAGACTACTTTTGATGTATTAACACTTGCTTCCTGGTGTGTTTGCTGTGTGCATGGTTTAGTAGACTGGAAGTGCTTTTCAACTTGTCCTTAAAAAAAAGTATTCTGTTTTACTGTATGTGAGTATGTGCAGTAGCTTTTGATGAGTTAGAAAATGCTTAGCATAAGGTTATGCAATAGCAACACCTAATGGAATAACTGTGCAACCACATGCATCTTTCTTGAGCTCTTGTCCATAGATCGTCCATTCAAGTACTCACAAAATGTTTAATACACTCCTTAAGAAAGTTATTTAGACTGATTTGAGGAATATTATTTCATCCTCTTTAGGAGATGATCATTTATGTTTATTGAACCTGTAACCTTTTCCCTGTGGCCCACAGACTGCCAGCTCCCACCATGCGGGTCTCTGCCCCAGGCAGCGAGGGGAAGCACCGCGGGGCCTCCAACGGCAACCGCCGCAGCCAGAGCTTCAACCACTACGACAAGCCCAAGCCCTCCAGCAGTGATAGAGGTGAGTTACAGTACATGAGGATGTAGGCCTGTGCTTTTAGAGCCGAACCACTTTGGGGACACCCATTTTATAAATCAATATGTGGTCGTCCAGGGCAACAACAAAGAAAAAGATCTAAACATATCTGGATTCGGAGCAATCTTGTCTATCATACAGCCATTAGTTGTGTGTTGTTAGCTGGTTGTAGCTAGAGTAGAGCTGCGGGTTAAAGTCCTCTTCATTAGAAGAATGGTGTGGGAAACAGCTGTCTGCTGGGAGAGGACCATTTATCCACTACTGTGTGACTGAACTGTCAACAGTCACACCATTAGAGGTGCATTAACAGACTGGACCACAGGGAGTTGAGACGGCATGGTTTCCCAGAGCCGGAACACACACAGACACACACATAAATAGCTAACCACGTAGACAGTTATCCTAAAACACACACACAGACACATGGACAGATAACCTATGTATACATGGTTTCTATCTTTACATGTTCTCTGCTGTTAGAGGAGCAGGTAATGATTTAACAACATGGGTGCCCCTCAAGCTGAACTTGTGGCGTAGAGGCTCCTCTGTGGATCGTTTGAGGTAAAATGTTACACAAAATTAAAGATGTGAATTATGTAGGTGTAATTTTACATTAGGTCTTAGGTTTAGGTTTGAGGTTTATTTGTAAGCGTATGCTTTACAGATAACCTTTAAGCCATTGACATTTCTGTTTGTGAAGTAAACAGCTATTTCTGCACTCCAACACCTATAATTTCGTCTGGCTTGCTACCTCTTATTTTAATGATGTGAGTATTGCAAAGTGCTACATTTGACATAACAAATGTTTGTTTTTTTTCTGTTTTTTTCTTCCTTTAAAAAAATATATTTACATTTACATTTACATTTTCGTCATTTAGCAGACACTCTTATCCAGAGCGACTTACAATCCTTTATTACTTTCCAACCCCACCACCCCTTCCCTAATTGGAGTAAACTAGTGAACAACAATGCTTAGGCCTCTACTTCCAGCTTATACATACTATATACATTTTATGGACACAGTCAATTTTACAATAATTCTATTTTGTTTGTTTTTACTCCTGAACTTCCTCTACCCACCTCGATCATTTTCATGATGTGCATCCGGTTTGCTTCTATATGCCATATCTTTCTAACTGTGCTCTTTCACAAAGCTCTCAACCTATAACCTATATACTTATTATGGACACAGTATGCTTACATTATTAGTTATCTTGTTGTTATTAGTTGTTGTTAGTTGTTATTAGTCCCATCCAGTTTGCTTTATTTTTATAATATATTACATTTGATCTTTCTTGAATAAGTTTCTCCATTTCTTTTTGTTTTTCCTCTAATTTATTCATAACAAATGTGTTACTTCCTCTCCTTTCTGAAGGCTATATTTACTGTTTATTCCTGCCTGTGTGTTTGATTATATTGTGGTGGACATCACGTCACACCATGGCTTTACAATCGTAGTGGTGTAAATAAATCTGTCTGAAAAGATGGCCTTGTTTGACGTAAAATTATACGTCTTATAATGTATCCTCACTGTAAGGCTAAGTCCTAGATTGATAGATTGAGTCCTCAATGGTATGAAGCCAGTCAGGCGTTACTCCCCCAGTACTCTGATGTATGTTAGTGAGAGCAGAGCAGAGCCGAGCAGAGCAGTGTGACAGTGGGAGTTAACTCTCTGGCCGGGCTGGGCCTGGAGAACCTAGTCTACAGTCTACTGAAGCCAACCTGTGGTAAGCTGCTGCTGCTGCTGTGTGATGAGGCGTTCACTGTGCATTGATTGAGCCCTAATTAGTGTACTTGTGGTAAAGAGAGGGAGGGATAGAGACAGGGAGGGAGGGATAGCGAGGGAACGAGAGACAAACAGAGAGGAAAGGGTAGAGAGGGGTAAAGATAGGCAGTGAGGGAGAGAGTGGGACAGGGAGTCTCGTTAAAGTGAGTCTTGTAAATAGAAATAGAGATATTGTAGAGAGAGAGAGATATTGTGGAGAGAGAGAGATATTGTAGAGAGAGAGAGATATTGTAGAGAGAGAGGTATTGTAGAGAGAGAGAGATATTGTAGAGAGAGAGAGATATTGTAGAGAGGAGAGATATTGTAGAGAGAGAGGATATTGTGGAGAGAGAGAGATATTGTGGAGAGAGAGAGATATTGTGGAGAGAGAGAGATATTGTGGAGAGAGAGAGATATTGTAGAGAGAGAGAGATATTGTAGAGAGAGAGAGATATTGTAGAGAGAGAGAGATATTGTAGAGAGAGAGAGATATTGTAGAGAGAGATAGATATTGTAGAGAGAGAGAGATATTTTAGAGAGAGAGAGAGATATTGTAGAGAGAGAGAGATATTGTAGAGAGAGAGATAGCCTCTTAGCTTGTTAAGTGTAGATCTCTGGTAGAAAGGACATAGTGAGAGTTTTACGGAAATCAGAAATGGTTAGTGTTCACTTCTTGGAGAGGATAGAAGCATGATTGGAACTATACAATGACCACTGTCATTCTTGACCTGTCAATCAAGGATCATCTGAGAGGGTGAGTGTCTCTGAGTGACCATCCCATGGTGGTTGCCCAGCAATGACGTCATTGGTATTGCCATGCCAGGTACCAGTTCTGTTGTAGTGGCGTTTTCAGTCTGGGGGGATACAGGATAATGCTAGTGAAACAGTCAAAGTTAGAGCTTGGCTGTAGGTTGTTTATGTGTCTGTCTGTCCTCGACAAAATGTGTATTGTATTGCAGTCAATAGGAGATTTGATTTGTTGAAGTTAGTGTGGTTCCTCTCCGCTAGAACAGGACTGGATGATTAGCCCGGATGGTGTTTCATTTGTGTTTATACATGTGAAGGAACTTTCACTTTTTACGTCATTTAGCAGACGCTCTTATCTAGAGTGACTTACATTAGTGAGTGCATACATTTTCATACTAGTCCCCCGTGGGAATCAAACCCACAACCCTGGCATTGCAAGCACCATGCTCTACCAACTGAGCTACACGGGACTACCAGTGTCTAAAGAACCAGAGCAGACTCTCTAACTCACTTAAACATGCACAATGTAGATGTATTTCCTTAGGCAGTGAATGGAGACATGATGACTACAATGAATTCACCATATTCTGTATACAAAATCTTGTTCACCTCAATTCTGTCATACTATATGATGTGAATGGTTGTAAATACACAGTTATCCAATGTTTTTCTAGTTACACCAGGTAGATCAGAACACTTGTATGTAGCCGCGAGTGACTGAGGTGAAATGAAATTCTCATGAACGTTAAAGGGTTCCACATAAACACTGTGAGCCTGTCTAGTAATTGAGAATGTTAACAGTTTCTCACTGCACTTCACTGTTAGACAGACCCTGGAACAGCTGCCTGGCTGGGATGCTGTAAGCACACCATTACACGGCACAGAGAAGTATGTGGAGCGTCTGAAGCTACTGAGTATATGGTGTAACTAACTGGGTGTTGAGTGTCTCTGGAGATTTGACCTGTAAACCAGAGCCTAGTGGTGGACACAGAGGCCAGGACACCTGCTGGGTATCCCAGGGATATGTCAGGATCATGAGTAAGTGTCAGTGGATGAGGCAGATCACATTTGTTGGGGAAGAATAAACACTTTTTGGTGTTGAGTTGCGCATAAGGATTTGTTGGAGACTGTTATCATACAATAGAACCTGGTGAGTAACACTTCTGATAAATGTTGCACTTAAAACACCCTACTTTCTAGCCAGGGTTATGAATATATACAGATATGTTGTGAATTATTGCAGAACTTAACAAGTGAGCCTGATAACAAATCAAGTCGATGCTGCCTCTGAGGTCTAAAAACGACATACACTGGGTGTACAAAACATTAAGAACACCTTCCTAATATTGAGTTGAACCCCCATATTGCCCTCAGAACAGCCTCAATTCGTCGGGGCATGGACTCTACAAGGTGTCGAAAGCGTTCCACCGGGATGCTGGCCCATGTTGACGCCACTGTTGTGTCAAGATGGCTGGATGTCCTTTGGGTGTTGGACCATTCTTGATACACACAGGAAACTGTTGAGTGTGAAAAACCAAGCAGCGCTGCAGTTCTTGACACAAACCATTGCGCCTAGCACCTACTATCATACCCCATTCAAAGGCACTTCAATCTTTTGTCTTGCCCATTCACTCTCTGAATGGCACACATACACAATGCATGTCTCAATTGTCTCAAGACTTTAAAATCCTTCTTTAACTGGTCTCCTCCCCTTCATCTACACTGATTGAAGTGGATTTAACATCAATAAGGGACATCAATAAGGAATCATAGTTTTCACCTGGATTCACCTGGTCAGTCTATGTCATGGAAAGAACAGCTGTTCTTAATGTTTTGTACACTCAGTGTATAAGCTAAGTGAATTGAGCTATGTATGTGTGCAATTACTGTATGTATGTGTTACAAAACTCAACATTGTTAGAGCGTTATTTGTGAGCTGAGGTGTGTGTGTGACAGTTGTATATGGTCACTGGTGTTGAGTTGGCAAGAACAGACAGGCTTTCATGATTGACTCTCCCTCCCAGGTACTCTGCATAGCTTGCTCTCTAAACTGTACACCACCCGTCGCTGATGTTTGGGTTTGAAATGTAAACGTCTGCTAGCTGTGGCAGTACATTTTTGCTTACATTATACACCTCCCCTCAGGCATAGTAAAAGGACAGGTATGTGGCTGGGCTTACTCTGAAAGTGTGCCTACTTAGAGTGGATTAACATCTGAAACTGGTTTCCCTACTAGTTGTTGCCCATGTAGACTACTGGACTTAGAGGTAGGTCAGATATGCTTAAAGAATATTAATAACAATAGATTTTCCTGCTAATTGATAATTAAATATCTGCATGTTAAAGATTGCTGGTGTACTCTAAATTATACTGAGAAATATGTCTTTTTTGGTTCAGAACTGTTTGCAATTAATATTTAGATAATTTTGCACTGCAATTTTGGAGTGTATTTCATGACTGTTATACCAAATTGTAGATAGAGTATGTGTTTACTCAGCATGTAATTCACAGAGTAATAATTTTGTATTGCATTAGATCAGTATTGTGTGAAGCCCAGTGTAGCCATGGAGGCCAGTGTGAGTGACTGACTGACTGACAGACTGACTGACTCAGCAGAGAGTTCATCCCAGGTGAGAACGACTGCCCCCTTTCATTGAAGCCACGGAGGTTCAAGGCTGATCGTGGTACTGCAGGCAGGCAGGCAGGCAGAAAACAGGATCCCCCATTATAGTGAATGGAAAAATTGCAATCTTCGTGATCAATCTTCGTGGTCAATCTTCATGGTCAATGTTTAGAAGACAATCATGGTACCAATAATTGCTTCTAATACACCAGATCTATGTCCTTGAACCAATTTATACAAAAATTGCACACAGAAGACGTTATAAGGATAATTTAGTTTCTAATGGCAGCCTGCAGTACTCCGGTCGGCCTTCAACTTGAGTTACTCAATGAGAAGGGGCAGCACTGAGCTACCCTGCAACGTTACCTCCTGGAGTAGCTCGAACTGCGCATGTTATGTCTCCATGAGATGCCATCTTAACCGACTTAATTTGGCTTCAATGCGCTACTGAGTCTTCATATAGGAATGAATGGTGTCACGTGATCGATGGCTTTGTCAGGGATGGTCCATCCCTTATCCCAACTACAGCTATTCAATGAGAGATCTTTATCTACAGCAGACACTCTGTCCTCCCTCATCTCTCCCTGCCTCTGTTTGTGTATCTCCACAGAGAGAAGCTCCACGGCCTCTCCCATCATGACTGATCACGGTCTGTCTCCAGGGCCCGTCAATGGCTACTCTTCTTCCTCCTCTTCCTCCTCCATCCCCCAGCCCAATGCAGGCAACAACAGCAAGCCCTGGAGGAGTAAGTCCCTGAACGCCAAGCACAGCGCCACCTCCTCCATGCTGTCCGTCAAGCAGGACCCTCCCACCAGGCAGCCCGTGGCCCCGCCCCTAGATGTCCCCCCTAAAGTCATTGCCCAGAAGTCCATGCTGGAGAAACTCAAGATTTTCAACAGCAAAGGAGCCTCCAAGGCAGCTGGAGTCCTGACTGACAGTCCGACGAGGCAGGAAACCATGGCGATGGAGGTGCACCCCACCAGCGTGGACCCCCTGGAAGAGGCAGAGGGGAACTCCCGGCCCCCCAGCGCCATGGCGACCAGCCCCAAACTGGCTCTGAAGGGCATTGCCCAGCGCACTTTCAGCCGGGCTCTCACCCCCAGGAAGAGCTCTCTGAAGACTGGGGAGAAGGAGAAAGACAAGGCCAGGTCCAAGGAGAGAGACAAGGCCCGGGAGGAAGGCTCCAAGTGGGGGTCAGTCACAGAGCAGGAGGTACCCAGGGACGACACCAGGCAGGAGGGAGTAGGTACAGACGCAGGAGAGCCCAAGAGGAATGCTAAGATCACCAGCTTCATCCCAAAAGGAGGCAAGGCTGGCAGTGGCAAAAAGGAGAGCTCAGCCTCAGCAGCACACAGTGGAATACCAAAGCCAGGGTCCAAGGCAGGTAAGACCTCAGGGGCGCCCTCTTCTGGTCGAGATGGAGAGAGGCCCCGCAGTTTGAGGGCCGGTGGGGGTGGTGGTCTCTCGGTGCACAAGGGCCAGCTGGACAACAGAAACTCCAGCCTGGCCCCCTCTGAAGGGAGGTCTCACCATCACCACACCAACGGAGTACCCCCAGTCGCTACCACAGCCAGCAATACCATCAGTGTCCAGCTTCCTCATCCTCAGCAGCAATACAACCACCCCAACACTGCTACTGTTGCACCATTCATGTACAGGTACTATGCCTACTTTGATGTACAGAATTTTAGCTTTCATAGTTTGATAGTAGGAATATACCACAATGTCAAACATTTTATACATACCACATGACAAACCTTTTTACCGATTGTCAGGAATCTGTATAAGCTTCAATTATAGTCAATGATTAATTGGAGAGGACCGAGCTACATATACTCACTGGCAACTGTTTACTCCTGATGGAGTGCAGAGGTAGAGAGAGGCACAGAGAGGTAGACTGAGAGAGGGCTATGTGACATCTCTCCTCCTTGTCTTGTTGTTGCTGTCTTGTCCTGTAGGTCTCAGCCAGATGTGACCAGAGCAGACATGATGATGGAGGCAGCAGGGTCAATGGAGGGTCACAGAGAGACTGCAGCCTACAGCAAATCAGCACACAACTCCCTGGATGACCTCACAGGTAAGACTGGCTCACTATGATGTACAGTATATGTGTAGCTGAACCTCACAACGTCTGTTCACTGGTTAAATCTCATATCTTTCCAAGCATACTAGAGATAATTTGTGATTGCTGAGTGGTTATTCAAGAGATTCCCGCCACACTGTACATGTAGATTGAAACAGGGCATTTACATACTGTGCTTTGAGACTTCAATTTCCGTATCGGTTTTTCTTTGGGCTTTTTTTTACTGTTCTGGTAAAAGACAGTAGTTAAGAAGATGAGAGTATTGTGAACTACAAATTTCAAATCAAATCAAAATCAAAATCCTTTTTTTTTGTCACATGCGCCTCACCTTACCGTGAAATGCTTACTTACAAGCCCTTAAACAACAATGCAGTTTTAAGAAAATAAGAGTTACAAAAATATTTACTAAATAAACTAAAGTAAAAAAAGTAACACAATAAAATAACAATAACGAGACTATACAGGGCCTTCGGAAAGTATTCGCACCCCTTGACTTTATACAGCCTTATTCTAAAATGGATTAAAATCCTCAGCAATCTACACACAATACCCCATAATGACAAAGCGAAAACAGGTTTTTATAAATGTATAAAAAAATAAAATAAAAATACCTTATTAATATAAGAATTCTGACCCTTTGCTATGAGACTCGAAATTGAGCTCAGGGGCATCCTGTTTCCATTGATTATCCTTGATGTTTCTACAACTTCATTGGAGTCCACCTGTGGTAAATTCAATTGATTGGACATGATTTTGAAAGGCACACACCTGTCTATATAAGGTCCCACAGTTGACAGTGCATGTCAGAGCAAAAACCAAGCCATGAGGTCGAAGTAATTGTCATTAGAGCTTCGAGACAGGATTGTGTCGAGGCACAGATCTGGGGAAGGGTACCAACAAATTTCAATGCAAATAGTCCGGGTAGCCATTTGATTAATTGCTCAGCAGACTTATAGCTTGGGGGTAGAAGCTGTGAAAAAGCCTTTTGGACCTAGACTTGGTGCTCCAGTACAGCTTGCCGTGCGGTAGCAGAGAGAACAGTCTATGACTTGGGTGGCTGGAGTCTTTGACAATTTCTAGGGCCTTCCTCTGACACCCTCTAGTATAGAGGTCCTGGATGGCAGGAAGCTTGGCCCCAGTGATGTACTGGGCCATTTGCACTACCCTCTGTAGCGCCTTATGGTCGGATGCCGAGCAGTTCCCATACCAGGCGGTGATGCAACTGGTCAGGATGCTCTCGATGGTGCAGTTGTATAACTTTTTGAGGATCTGGGGACCCATGCCAAATCTTTTCAGTCTCCTGAGGGGGAATAGGCGTTGTTGTGCCCTTTTCAATGACTGTCTTCATGTGTTTGGACCATGATAGTTTGTTGGTGATGTGGACACCAAGGAACTTGAACCTCTTGACCCACTTCACTACAGACCCATCGATGTGAATGGGGGTGTGTTCGGCCCTACTTTTCCTATAGTCCACGATCAGCTCCTTTGTCTTGCTCACGTTGAGGGAGAGGTTGTTGTCCTGGCACCACAATGCCAGGTCTCTGACCTTCTCCGATATAGGCTGTCTCATCGTTGTCGGTGATCAGGCCTACCACCGTTGTCGTCAGGAAACGTAATGATGGTGTTGGAGTCGTGCTTGGCCACGCAGTCGTGGGTGAACAGGGAATACAGGAGGGTACTAAGCACACACCTCTGAGGTGCCCCGTGTTGAGGATCAGTGTGGCAAATGTGTTGTTGCCTACCCTTACCACCTGGGGGGTGCCCGTCAGGAAGTCGAGGATCCAGTTGCAGAGGGAGGTGTTTAGTCCCAGGGTCCTTAGCTTAGTGATGAGCTTTGTGGGCACTATGGTGTTGAACGCTGAGCTGTAGTCAATGAACAGCATTCTCACATAGATGTTCCTTTTGTCCAGGTGGGAAAGGACAGTGTGGAGTGCAATTGAGATTGTGTCATCTGTGAACCTGCGGTATGTGAATTGGAGTGGGTCTAGGGTTTCCGGGATGATGGTGTTAATGTGAGCCATGACCAGCCTTTCAAAGCAATTCATGGCTACAGACGTGAGTGCTATGGGGCAGTAGTCATTTAGGCAGGTTATCTTGCCGTTCTTGGGCACAGGGACTATGGTGGTCTGCTTGAAACATGTAGGTATTACAGATTTGGTCAGGGAGAGGTTGAAAATGTCAGTGAAGACACTTGCCACTGGCCAGTTGTCTGAGCATGCTCTGAGTACACATCCTGGTAATCCACCTTGTGAATGTTGACCTGTTTGAAGGTCTTGCTCACATCGGCTACGGAGAGCGTGATCACACAGTCATCCGGAACATCTGGTGCTCTCATGCATGCTTCAGTGTTGCTTGCCTCGAAGCGAGCATAAAAGGCATTTAGCCCGTCTGGTAGGCTTGCGTCACTGAGCAGCTCGCGGCTGGGTTTCCCTTTGTAGTTCATAATAGTTTGCTAGACCTGCCACATCCGACGAGTGTCAGAGCCGGTGTATTAGGATTCAATCTTAGTCCTGTATTGACGCTTTGCCTGTTTGATGGTTTGTCTGAGGGCATAGCGGGATTTCTTATAAGCGTCCGGATTAGTGTCCCGCTCCTTGAAAGTGGCAGCTCTAGCCTTTAGCTCGGTGCGGATGTTGCCTGTAATCCATGGATTCTGGTTGGGATATGTAAGTGCGGTCACTGTGGAGACGACGTCGTCGATGCACTTATTGATGAAGCCGGTGACTGATGTGGTGTACTCCTCGACGCCATCGGATGAATCCCGGAACATATTCCAGTCTGTGCTAGCAAAACAGTCCTGTAGCGTAGCATCCACGTCATCTGACCACTGCCGTATAGAGCGAGTCACTAGTATTTCCTGCTTTAGTTTTTGCTTGTAAGCAGGAATCAGGAGGATAGAATTATGGTCAGATTTGCCAAATGGAGGGCGAGGGAGAGCTTTGTAAGCGTCTCTTTGTGTGGAGTAAAGGTGGTATAGAGTATTTTTTCCTCTGCTTGCACATGACATGCTGGTAGAAATGAGGTAAAACTGATTTAAGTTTTCCTGCATTAAAGCATTTTCTTGTTTGCTTATGGCCTTATACAGCTCGTTGAGTGCGGTTTTTGGTGGTAAATAGACAGATAACTCTCATTAGCGTCAAAGGATCCTGTCCATGGAAACTATTTTTTCAGCCTGGTATTGTTCCCAGGCACAAATGAGGGTCTCTCTTCCCGGCTATACATGTCAATACTCTATAGCGAGGACTGAATCAAAATGCCACCATGGAGGGCAAAAGCCTCAGTTCCCTGTGGATTCTTTTTAGCCTCTTCGTAATGGATCGGAGATATTGCCTCAAAGTTCCCAATGATTTGGCAGGCCCACACAGTCTGTCTGAATGCAATTAACATCACTGTTAATGCTGCATACAGAGTGAGTGGAAAAATGTTCTTGGAAACTCTGAATTTGTCAGCCAGGAAGTAAGTGGGTTTATGTTGGTTGGTACTGTTCATTTGGATAGCTGCTCTGCTGCCACACAGGAAACAGAAAAATATTGAGATGGAAAAATAAAGAAAAGTGAAACACTGTTTTCTTATTGAGCTTTTTATGAATTGCAAGACTTGTTGCGTGACTGTGGAGAGAGAGGCTTGTTTTGACCCTGGAGTTGACTGGTGAAGTGATGGAGTTTTGTCCTGAGGCAGCCCCAGCCCGGGCTCTGTGTCTCTATGTCTACCATGGCAGCCAGGAGGGAGAGAAAACGCCAGGGGCTGACTGAATGGAACAGAAAGAGCTCATCTGCATGTTAAAGGCTGTGGATGTCATAGAGTTGCCAAGGCTCCTCACCACACACAATAACTGTGTGTGTGTGTTGTGGATGGCTGGAGAGGCCTTTCTCCAGAAAAACCAGTCGCCACAGGAGGAGTGGGCAGCGCTGGGGTAGTTGTGTCAGCTACATCATTCTCTTTCTGTCACTTCGGGGCTGAAGGATTTTCAAGAAAACAAGCATTTACTTACGTTCTGTTCCGATCCGTATCCTAACGTGTTATGGAGAGGATGTGGCAATACCGGACAGGACTTAGCAAAGTGTCAAAGACTTGGAGCACCTAGTAAGGACTACATGGAGAGAGAAGAAATGCTTCCTCACAGAAACAAGGAGGGTGTTGGTAAGAATGGCAGCAGCAATGACTCCTCACCCAGCAGAGCCAGTGGCAGAGAGGCAGGACACAGCAGAGACAGAACCAGGACCAGGCTGTCCCTGAGCAGTGTTACCATGGGGAGCTCCAGTCAGCACAGCCACCCCATCTGTCACATCCCCATCCCCACCAGACCAACCCCAGATGAAACTAGACGACCAGCCAGGGAGCTAAACACCTCTGTGGAGACTCTGGAGAGTCCAGGAAGAGGGGAGGCAGAGAGCTGTGACCCTGTGACCCTGAGGCAGACAGCCAGGACCAAGGTCAGAACCAAGCATGTGACCTGGGAGGAGAACTATGTGTCCAGTCGGAGGCAGAGCCGACTGTACCAGGTGCACCTGCAGCAGACCTGTGTGTGGGACGGCATCGCTCAACTGAACCAGGAGATCCTCCTCACTATGTTGGAGATATATGAGAAACACGAGAGTAAGTGTTTGTGTGTGTGTGCATGCGTGGGGGTGTGTGTGCCCCCACTGCCTTCTGCCTGTGGTCTTTGTCGCTGCTTACCTTTTAACGTCCCAGACCTCCCGGACTAGATGCGTCTTTTTTCATTAGCAGAACAATGTTTGTTAATGCTCTCAAAGCATTCAGAGCATGTTACTGTTATTCTGATCGCTAAACATTTTGTCAGCTCTCACCGTTATGTTTCTCAGTGAAATTGACGTGAAAAGGGACTTCATCAAGGGAGGTCAGCATTAAAACGGGAGAAAAGTTCTACAATCCCTCCATCAAAGGGCTGCCTGTAAGGATTTAGTGGTGTTGTAAAGGGCAGGTTTAGCCCTGTGAATGGGCTCGTTTGTGCTCCCTCCATGGCCCCCCTGGAATGCCTTGACTGGTAGCGCTGCTCAGCTCTCTAGCCCACGTTTCCATGTCACGGCAGCGTGTGTGGAGCTTTGGCCCCCCCCCTCCCCTGCCTCCCCTCTCATGAGAGGCAAAAACATTTTAATCTACCCAGCAACACCCTCCACTCACCTACAGCTCATGTTTATTTGGAAAAAGCGTGAATGGGTGTATTAGCTGGCCAAGCTTTTCTCCTTCCCAGCATGTATACTGTGCAGTACAGCACCAGGAAGGAAAAAACTGTTTTGACTGATCTTAAGGACTTTTTCAATGTTTTCTTTCCTCAAAAGCATCGAGAAATCATATATTTTTTGTATGTATATTTTTTCTGGTTTGGGCTTTGATTGGCCCTGAAGGAGCTACAGTACAGTATGCAATGTTTAGGACCCTCTGGTTGTGAATGGTCTGTTTCAAGTGTTAATGGATACCTTTGGAGGAAAGATGCACATTTCTGATGATGTCCTGACAAGCCTGTGCCACGTGTGTTGTTTGACATAGCAGCTGTTTCCGGTAGGCTGCCTCTAACAGACCCACCCCCTCTACTCCTAGGTGAAGACCCTGAGGCCAGGCGCTTGCGGACGGTGAAGAACATTGCCGATCTGAGGCAGAACCTGGAAGAGACCATGTCCAGCCTGAGGGGAACACAGATCAGCCACAGGTAGATCCTTGACCTTGCTTCAGCACATTTTTACATTTACATTTTAGTCATTTAGCAGACGTTCTTATCCAGAGCGACTGACAGTTAGTGAGTGCATACATTTTCATACTGGCCCCCCGTGGGAAACGAACCCACAACCCTGGCATTGCAAGCGCCATGCTCTACCAACTGAGCTACAGGGGACTGAAGTTTATTTGAGTGGTTTGGCTCCGCACTTCCCAAACATGATTGCATACTTACTTTGCAAAGTGCCCTCCACAAAGCATTTAATATTATGGTATTTTTATGCTCATTAATGCATCAGCGATCTATTATCGAGGGCAGAAGAACAGCAGGGTGAAACTAAAACATGAAATTCATTTTGATTGATGTGGGAAGGAAGCATTCAAAATGAGGACCATTATGTGTGGCATGTGAACCATTTGGATCCCAGCTTGTCTACATGACAGAGTCTGCCTTAGGGTCTAAAGGCTTTAGCCTGATTGGCAGTTGGACTGGTAGAGCAGATGTTGATCTGGAGGCATCCTCTTTTGTCTCTGGTCTGATGAATCTGATGTGTTGCCCAGTCGCCTCGTCCTGAGTCCAGCCGTGAAATCGGCTCAGAGGGGTTGACTGGACCCCCGTGGTCAGCCAGCACTGGGTTAAAAGCTGCTTTTGTCTCCCAAGTCGATAAAAGGGGAGAACATACATGAAAAGCACTCCTGGTGGGCTGATTTACAATGCCAAAAGCATTTCTACTCTCTTTAGCATCATATGGGAGTGAACATTTCAGTTAAACTAGTAGGATTGTTCAGTCAGAACAAACATTTTCATAGTATATATTCATTTTAATGGGGTTTTGATTGACATGCTCTCTGAAATGCATGTAAATGTAGCTTTTCATGTTGAAGTGGCTCATCTCATGTCACTCTCTCTCTCTCGCTCTCTCTCTCTCCACCCCTTACATTTATTGTTTTGCATATTGAACGTATTTTATTTTTGCCATTTTGACCAGTCTGATCTTTAGTTTGTCACAGAGAGTGGGAGTGGTAACTCCCCAGCTGAAAAAAAACAGCATAGACCAGCATAGGTGCTGGTTTTGCTGGTGCCTTATCTGAGTTTTTGTGGTGCCTCATTGTGTTTTTGTGGTGCCTCATTGTGTTTTTGTGGTGCCTCATTGTGTTTTTGTGGTGCCTTCGTTATGTTTTTGTGGTGCCTCATTGTGTTTTTGTGGTGCCTTCGTTATGTTTTTGTGGTGCCTTTGCTGAGTTTTCATGATAACCAGCCTTCGCTGTGTTTTGATAGTGACAAGCCTTCGTTGTGTTTTTTCTGGTGACCAGCCATAACTGTGTTTTTGCTTGTGACCAACCTTCGCTGTGTTTTTGCTGGTGACCAACCTTAGCTGTGTTTTGGACACTTATGCTGCTCACCAGCAAAACCAGCATAAAGTCACATCATGCTGGCTTGCAAAGTGACGTTTAATTCCTATTGGAATCTAGCCAGAGTGGAGATATCCAACAATTTGAACTTTTCTTCACCCATAATATGTATGCAGAATGACTGCCAGGGTTAGAAAGAATGATAAATGATACTATTCAAACCATCTAAACTGAAACAACCATTTCAGTAACAGGTGCAATAAATCCAACTAACAGATTGGATTAGTTTAGAAAAATTGAAAGCATGTTATTTATCTTTGTTTACTATAAGATTAATGAATCAATGTACATACAAAAACACAAGAAACAAAAAAGAGATTGAAACAAACAGTTCTAAAAATCAACTGCAATAGAGAATGCTGGGAAATATGATAATGATGCGCATGGACCACATAGACCAGCATGGACCAGCTTGGTCACCAGCATACCAGCATCACCAGCATAAGCTGGTATGTGTCCAAAACACAGTGAATGCTGGTCACAAGTGTCCAAACCCCAGCGAAGGCTGGTCACTAACAAAACCTGCTAGACCATGCTGGTAAACCAGCATAACCAGCTAGACCATGCTGGTAAACCAGCATAACCAGTTAGACCATGCTGGTCAGACCAGCTTGACCAGCATCTGACCAGCACTGACCACCATATTGAAATGTATGCTGGTCTATGCTGTTTGTTTCAGCAGGCTCCTGACCCACTCACCCCCTTAACAACCCTTCAATTTATTTGAGTGACAGCTGTTGCCCTGGACAGGGACTTGTTCATGTCTGGCTCCTGACTCACCACAGCCTCTCGCAGCAGGAGTTGCTTTTGTGTCTGGTTTGTTGGCGTGACAACCCCTATCAGATGTCTGCGCAATTTTGAACCTGAATCTTAACCCCCCCCCCCCCTCTCTCTTTCCCTCTCTCTCCCTCTCTCTCCCCAGCACCCTGGAGACCACCTTTGACAGCAGCATCACCACAGAGGTCAGTGGGAGAGGCATGCTCAACTTGTCCCCCCGCCCCAACCCAGCGCTGCCCTGGCGACTGGGCCCCTCCAGCCCCCGTCTGCAGGCAGGCGACGCCCCCTCAGTGGGGAATGGGTACAAGGTGGTGACGCGGGGCAGTGCCAGTCGCATGGTGAGCCCAGAGGGCGGGCGCTACCTCCGCAGCAGGCAGACACCCGAACAGGAGAGTAACAGTGTGTGTGACCTGGACCTGCCAGATAAGATGGAGGAGCTGGAGGGCATCGTCATGGAGACCACGGGGTACATGAGCGACGGTGACTTGCTGGGGAAGAATCTCTGCATGGACAAAGTCTCCAGTGGGTGAGTGCACACATCTGTACTTTTGTGTTTTCAACTGACAAAGGCAACCAGGGAAAAGCAATAACCCTGCTTTGAATGGACCACCTCAATTATCTGCTTTCTTGCCACTAGATGGTAGTGTTTCTGTCTTCTCTCCTTGTGAGTGTGACAGTCCTCTCTGCTAATGTCTCTTAGTTGTCAGAGATCACTTGTGACATCAGACATCATCTTTTATTTGCAAGATAGCTTGGTAACATGCTGTCTTATTTGGAAATCTCTCAGGGTGAAGAGGGTTTGACTTAAAAAATAATCTGCCCTTTGTGCACTAGAGAGAAAGCAGCTCATGGGAAATATTCTTCTTAGCCTTGAGATGACATGAGAAAG